GTGGTGGATGGCTCTTAGCCAGCCCGTGGCCCCTCCTCCCTCCTTTCCTTTCCACCCTCTGACCCTCGAGGACAAACCAGTCCCAGCCCCGCTTCTGTCCCTCCTTGTCTGGGCCCCTGTCCCTCTGCTCGGTCTCCATTCTGTCCCACTTTCTCTTATTCCTGCCTCTCTCCGTCCCACGGGCCCCTCCCTAGACCTCTCCTCGGCCTCTCCCTCCTCGGGTCCCTCTGACTTCCTCTCCTGCGTCTGCCGCGCCCCTCCTTCCTCCCCCTCCCTACCCCCCAACCCGACCCTCAACAGAGGCGGCTGTGACCTTGGGGCAGGTTCTGGGTGTCCTGGGCTCTGGCATTGGGGATGGGAGCAGCGGTGGCGGTGGGGACGGGGCTGAGAGAGAGCAGCAGCAGCATCAGGACCAGTGGGCCCCACATGGCGAGGCAGTCGGGGCTGCAGGGAGGGGCGAGAGGGTGACGGCTGGGTGGTCAGAGGCTCACCCTTGGTCCGGCACCTCCTCCCACCCTGTCCAACCTCTCTCCTCCCCTCCCCTCCCCTCCTCCCCCTCCGTGTGCCAGGCCCAGCGCCCCGGAGGCCCGCCCTCACTCCAGGCCTCAGTCACCCCGCACCTGTCCACAGCCCGGTCACCAGCCTCGGGAACCCCAAGGACTGTTAAATGCAGACAGTTGCCGGAGCGGCTCCTGGAGCTCTGGGCGCCAGCTCGATTTTTAACCACGCCCCCACGACTGGCCACGCCCCCGCCTCGAGCCACGCCCACCCACTGTGACACCGCCCCTCGCAATGGACACGCCCCCAGGACATAGCCACGCCCCGTTCTTTAACCACACCCTCCGAGTCCAGACAAATCCTCACCCGCTGGACACACCCTGTCATCACAGGCCACGCCCCTAAGCCAGAGCCACCTGTGCAGCGAGACCCTGAGTCCCATCCCACCTTGTCCTCTTCCCAGATGCGAGTCCCAGCCCTGAGGGAGCCCCCAGCCCAGTCGTCCCAGGAGCCCGGCGCCTGGGGGTTCTCATGAGCGTGAGCTCGCGGGTCTGCGCAGCTCCCTCCCGTCACCCCTCTGCCCTGC